GTGAACGTGCCCGGGGACGGCGCTGCGATGCTCCGACCCACCCGAGGATAAAGGACTTCTCAGCCTGCGCCGTCCTGCGCTGCCCCGAGCGGGGCCGGGCTCCTCCTGCTGCTGCGTTCAAGGAAAGACTTTATATTTGATAAAAATAAAACCTAGTTTTAAAAATACTGAGGGTTGTTGAATTCTCACCGTGTGAGGATGGTCTTTGCTTTTGAACAAAGATGTGGGGTTTTGTGACCTTGCCCTTATCTTCCCAAATTCGGTGCCTGGGGCCAGGGGAAGGTACCCGTGCCGGGGTAAGAAGAGCAGAGCCGAATCTCCCGGTGCTTTTCCAGCAGCGGGATCTGGTGGAGGTGGTTTTGGCCCGTTGCCGGCTCTGTAGTGTCCTTTCCCATCAGCAGAGGGAGGCCGGTCCCTGGCTGGCGGCCGGCCAGCTGGGAAGCCAGCCTGGGCCACCTCCGTCTGCATCCCAGAGGGATGTGTAAGTGGGAGAACGAGGTCTGGACAAGAAGCGCCAGGAAATGAAGAAGCCCTTTGGGTGACAGAAGAATGAAGGGGGAAAATTAAAAAAAAAACAAAAAAAAAAACCAACCCAAAAAGCGATGAGGCTGTAGGAAGGGGTTTAATTTCCAACCTCTGGCTTGCAGAGCAGGATGGTCACGTACATTTATGGTTTCCATCAGTGGGTCAGTCGCTCTGGCTGTGCAGCGTGAAGGTAACCACATCGTCGGAAAGTGATTGATGTGAGGTTTCCTGTGAAATTACGGCGCTGGGTACATCTGGGAGCGTGTGTTCGGGGGGAGGAAGGGACGCGTGGCGTTGAGCTTGGGCGGGCGCTGGAGGAAGGATGGTGCTGCCGGGGCAGAGAGGAGGGTCGGGTGTGTGGGGTTGGGGTTCAGGGGGTGTTTTCTGGGGCTTCTGAAATGGGGGATTTTTTGGTTTCGCCAGCCCAGCTGCTCACAGGTCAGAGGTGTTGCTTTTCCACAATAAACACTGGGTCGCTCTTAGTCGCTTGCTGGTTTTTCCACCCTGTTTGGGGGTTGTGCGTTGCCCTACGACTGGGACAAGGTGGGATACGGGCGCTCGGACGTGACACCTGACAAACAGACAAACCGGCCCAGCGGTTCCCTTTCTCGCTCCCTCCTTTTGGTTGGTTAAATCTCAAATTTGTGGAGGCATTCCTTGCAGACAGCAGGGAGAGCGCTCGCTCGAAGGGGGAGTCGATGGAAATCCTGGGCTTTCTGCGGAAGGCACCACGGCGCACGGGGCCACGGTCACATCCTGAGCTGGATTTCACGTGGAATTAGTTGGCAGATCAAAATCTTTCCAAAGAAGTGAGACCTTTTCCCGGTAAGCCAGGCATCGGCGGGGAGCAGATCTTTCTTTGGTGGGTTTATTATTATTTTTTTTTTTTTTTTCCTTCGCGTTTGGCTAGGCCAGGTTCGTTATTTGTTTAGTGACGCAAGGTTCCCCGGGTACCCGAGCTGAGAAACAGGCCAGGCCCTTTCCTTTTAAAATCATAGCAAATAAATAACTTAATTGTGCAAACAGCACAGGGCAGCTGCCCGGGGCCGGTGCGGTCACGGCCCCGTTGTGAGCCCCCGGGAAGCATCCACCGGTGAGCGCAGCCGCTCTCCCGCCCGGGGAGGCACCGCCTGACCTAAAACTCACATCGCGACACTTTGGCCTGGCTCGTTTTCAAGCAAATAGGTACAATTTTAGCCGATCCCAAGTATATATATATATATTTTTTATTTCGTTGCGAAATCCCGTCTGCCCAACAGAGCGCTGCTGTGCCGTGACATTTATTAAAAAACAAACAGCAAGAGAAACTACGTGTTTACTTTCCAAACTCGGCATTTATTTTATAACAGTGCCATAGCTCAATATGGATATTTTAATTTTATTTTTTTTTTCCGACTGGCTGAGTTTCGTGAACTTTAAGTAAACAGGAACGGGTTAGTCAGCCAGCTACTTAATCGGCTGATGGTGTTTTCATTAAGGGAATTAAAAGCACTGGGTAGAGGTGGGTTAGTTAGACATACACGGCTAAAAAAGGCTCTCAATCCCAGAGCAACTCAGCTGCCGCCTCCCGTGTCCTTATTACCCTTCAGCCCAAACTGCCTCTGCCAACACCAGAGACTGCAGCAGCCTGTGCGCCGGGGGAAAACACATCAGCCCCAACAAAACAGACACGGAACCGGCCCCAAATCCTCTCTTTCCTATATATATATATGTATGTATAGCTATAACTGTGTCTCATGAAGTGTAGTAAGAGAATAAAAGTTTTATATTATTTACATCCACTTCTAGGAAGGGGTGGGAGGGATTTATTTTTATTATTTATTATTATTATTAACGGGCTTTGCTATGGTGCAGCCCGTGAAACTCCTCTTCGGCACACGCAGCAGAAACCCAGCGTCACGTTTCCCCGGTGGGGGTGGGACATTCGGGGATGGGAATGGGGCTGGGGATGGGACCGATCGGTCAGTGGCAGCCGCAGGATTTCACCACCATGTTGCGGTGCTTCTTGAGGATGACATTGTTGTTGCTGTCGTAGTAGAGGACGGAGGTGGCGCTGAGCTTCGTGGGGGCGCAGCACGCCTTGGGCACGGCCTCGGGCTTCATCAGGTGGACCTGGGGGGATGGATGGATGGATGGATGGATGGAGCCCGTGAGCACCGGCGAACGTGGCTCCGGGCAGAACTAAAAGCATCAAAGCAGCTCCTAAATGCAAAAAGCCTGGGTGAATGGCGAGATTATTTCCAGCTTTTTGCAAAAATATTTATTCTAAACTCTGGGCAGTCCTTGCTGCAGTTTATATTGGATCGGGGTGGCACTGCGCGGGCCGGGCAGCCCCTTCATTAATTTGGGATTTCTGGGCTCTTTTCTCGCCGTAAATAGGCAAATAGCTAAAAAAAAACAAATGAGGGCAGCGCGGGTCTCCCGCTGGCGTGGGCGGGGGGTGCTGGATGCTGTTGCAATCTTCTCCTTCAGGGCTTCAGCGCCGCCCCAAATTTAACATATTGCACTAAAGCCTTAAGTACACAACACCTTTCTCAACGCGACTCTCCTTCGGCGCGTTCAACCCCTGCTCGGGACACGCGTTATCCCAGTAATTCCCCGTACAGCGTAACCCGGGCGGCTCACAGGCTGCCGGACGCACGCAGCCCTCGCCGGCTTTATCCGACATGTGCGATTAATTTATTGCAGGGGCAGCCCGGCTCTCCCAGTTCGGAAGTCCGGTGTTTTTGCTGTCAAACCCTGCTATTTGCAGCACCGGCCAGGGCTGGCACGGCTCCCCGGCCGCGTTTGCCCCGGCTCTTCCCAGAAGGGACGGATCCGGGCGCCAGGTGATTCACATCCTGCCCGAAAGGGCTCCGTTTCGGGAAAAGCGTTGGGTTTAGGGGTGATGGGTGGGTGTAGGGGGGAAGGGGACCCCTCCCCGCCACTGCCAGGATCGTGCCCAGCCCCGGACAGGGGCCTCTGGCAGCTTCGTTAATGCAAAAATTAAACCCCGCCAGGCGACACCTTCAAAGGCTCGGCCGAGGACTCGGCGCTCCCTGTAATTAACCGCGTACACCGGAGCCGGTGTGACTCTGCCATTGGGAAATCAAACACTCACAGGGCAGGAAATTCCAGAAATTAAAGCACCGGCTGGGATGCGGGGTGGGTTTGGGGAAAAAAAAAAAAAAAATAGAGAAGGGACATTAAAGCCTTCCTGCTTGGAATATGCTGAGCCCAACGTTTGGGCGCTGAGCCCCGGCGGCGCTTTGTGGGGCCTCGGACCAAATGCAGGGCTGGCGAGGAGGATGCTCAGGTGACATGAAGCCCTTCCCCACTGGCTGGCAGGGGAGCCCCATCCAGATGTGCATGGGTGCCATGATGCCCTTCCCCACTGGCTGGCAGGGGAGCCCCCATCCAGATGTGCGTGGGTGCCATGATGCCCTTCCCCACTGGCTGGCAGGGGAGCCCCCATCCAGATGTGCGTGGGTGCCATGATGCCCTTCCCCACTGGCTGGCAGGGGAGCCCCCATCCAGATGTGCGTGGGTGCCATGATGCCCTTCCCCACTGGCTGGCAGGGGAGCCCCCATCCAGATGTGCACACACCCACCGATGCTTTGCTGGGAGGTGGACCTAAACTGCACCCTCCGACCTAAACACTCCACTCCATCGGGACCCTCTGGGCTCCGACCGCTCCCCCGGGACCACCAGTGTCCCCCTCCCGGTGCTGCCGCTGTGGGTTGCACTGACCAGGGACTGCAGGATGGCGTGGTTGGTGGCGTTCATGCAGGAGTCCAGGGGGAAGGCGCACTCCCCCTCGCAGTAGTAGGCTGAGTACCCCTGCGGGGCGATCACCCAGTCCTGCGAAAAGGAAAAAAAAAGAAAGGGTTTACACCGTTGGTTTCCCCCTTTCTGCACCCCTTCATCCATTCCCCACCTGCAAAAACAACCCCGCCGGCTCCTCCCCGGGCAGCTGTGCCAGCAGCAAGGCTTTATTTGGATTTTTTTGGCCTGAGCCATGAGTTGCTCGGGGTCACCGGTGGGGTTTGGGGTTGTGGCAGTTCATGTTTGCCTTCCCGGCTCCCGGGATGGGGCTGCGGTAGCTCCCGGCTGCCCCGCACTGCTCACACACCGCTTCACGGGCAGGAGAAAAGGGGCTGGGAGGGAGCCCGAGAGGGGACGATGGGGTTTTTTGTGCATTTATTTCTCCCAGTAGACAAGTACCAGCCAGCCGAGGTCCTGAAAGCTGACGTAGAGCTCGTGGCGCCGGCAGACCTGCCGCCCATCTGCGGCGTGGACGTCGTCTGCGGGAGAAGGGGACAGGTAGGGTCAGTCCCGCGGTGACGGCATCCCGACCACCCCTCCCACCACCACCAGCCCCTTCAAGGGTGGGATTGAACAGCCCGCATGGTTGGGGTTAGGCCAGGAGAACGACGGCTGTGGTTTCACAAAGGGGTAAGAAGGTTCAAACTGGCCTGAAATTCATTGTTCCAATGTTGGGAGGAGGGGATTCCATCTGGGAAGGGCTAAATCCCAGGTGGAGTTGGCTTTGAGCGTTTCCCAAGATAAATGGGATATGGAGAGCTGGGGCTTCTCTCTCTCCTCCTGCATGAGCAGCTTCCAGGGGCCGTGACACCCTCCTGGGGCTGTGACACCCTCCCGGGGCTGTGACACCCTGCTGGGTGATGCCCTCCTAGGGTGGCTTCAAAGCCAAGGGCAAGGATGCAAAAAGTCCAATATTCAGGTATCCTGAAATCCCCACGAAACCCCATCACCTCGAGGGCACCCCCACTCCAGACCCACTGCACCTCCCAAACTGCAACTGACCCCAACCCTAAAAACCCAGCGGTCTCAGCTCCGCTTCCCCTGGGGGATGCGTTTCTGGGCCAAAATTGGGATTCCTTGCAAGAGAAGGTACTACCAGTAGGTCCCCTGATCATGGCAGCGGCAGAGCCCGGTCTTTTCCGTAGGGACCGCTTCTCGCCCCGCAAAGCTCTTACCAAAAATTCCCGGCAGCTTGTTGGGATGCGGGAGGTCATTCGTCTTCTTGGGCTGCCGCCTCCTCGGGGACTTGGCCGCCCGTGTAACGCGTGCGGGGCTGGGGCTCGCCCGGAAAAATGTCACCATGAAGGGCTGCTTGGAGCGGGGTCCCCGGCGCCCCAGCAGCCCCGCTGAGCCTGGGTCGACGCTGTGCCCTGTGGGGATGGGACCATGTGTTGGATTGCTCTCAGAATGAACTCATTCAGTTAAAGCAAGGAGAAAAAAATACAGGAAATTTCACAGAATCATAGAATGGTTTGGGTTGGAAGGGACCTTGAAGACCATCCCGTTCCACCCCCTGCCCTGGGCAGGGCCACCTCCCACCAGCCCAGGTTGCTCCAAGCCCCGTCCAACCTGGCCTTGAGCACCTCCAGGGATGGGGCAGCCACAGCTTCTCGGGGCAACCTGCCCCAGGGGCTCACCACCCGCACAGGGAAACATTTCTTCCTGATATCTCATCTAAATCTTCCCTCTTCCAGTCTGAAGCCATTCCCCCTCGTCCCATCACTCCATGCCCTTGGAAAAAGTCCCTCCGCAGCTCTCCTGGAGCCCCTTTAGGCACTGGAAGGGGCTCTGAGGTCTCCCCTTTTTCGCCTTCTCTTCTCCAGGCTGAACCCCCCCAACTCTCCCAGCCTGTCCTCCCAGCAGAGGGGCTCCAGCCCTCCCAGCATCTCCGGGGCCTCCTCTGGCCCCGCTCCTCCATGTCCATGTCTTTCCTATGTTGGAGGTCCAGAGCTGGACTCCAGGTGGATCTCAGCTGAGAGCTGTGGCTTTGCCATACCGAGTGGCTCCCGTTCTGCTGTTGCCCCCCTCGTGATGGGCAGCTCACAGAGGCTTCATCCTGCATGGTCACCACCACGCGATGGTCACACAGAGCAATTCAAGGATTAAAACCAAAGAAGATTGAGGGGGGATCTTATTAATACTTACAAATACTTAACGGGAGGATGCCAGGGGGATGGGAGCAGTCTTTTTTCAGTGGCGCCCAGTGATAGGACGAGGGGTAATGGGCATAAACTTGAACATAAGAAGTTCCATCTTAACATGAGAAGGAACTTCTTTACTTTGAGGGTAGTGGAGCAGTGGCACAGGCTGCCCAGAGAGGTGGTGGAGTCTCCCACTCTGGAGACATTCCAAACCCGCCTGGACGCTGTCCTGTGCAACGTACTGTAGGTGACCCTGCTCTGGCAGGGGGGCTGGACTAGATGATCTCCAGAGGTCCCTTCCAACCCTGACCATTCTGTGATTCTGTGATTCTGTGAGACCGATTTCCCCTTTGCCGCCGGGGAGGAGAGCCGGGTGCGCTGGGAGGGAAGGGGATGGATGGGACATTAACAGCTGTGATTTCTGCCCCCATGGGAGCGGAGATGCTCTTTATGTCCCCCTGCAAATGGCACCTTTGGAGCAGGTTTGATTTCTTGGTGAGAAGAGGGTTAATGCTGCGCCAGGTACAGGAGGATCCCTCCAGGTAAGGAGTTCATTAAGCGCTAATGGGGTTATTACAGCCCACACCAGGAACCCCATTAGCATTAATGCCTTTGGGAGGCTTTGCCATCAGAGCTCCTGCAAACCCAGCTCTGCCGACTTCTGGCATCTGCTCTTCTCCACCACAGCCGGAAATTTAAAATTGCAGCAAGACAACAGCCCTACCCCACCCCCCACCCCCGCTGCCCATCATGGCACCCAGAGGGGAGATGAGAAGGCTCCAATTCCTGCGGATTTGGCCCCAAACACTGCAGGTAGGCTGGGCAGCCTTACCGTCATCCGTCTCCACGTAGAGTCGCAGTCCCAGGTTGTATTTGCGATCCACTAACCAGTGGTTGCTGGCAGCCGTGACGTCAAACACCAGCCAGCCCTCGGTGCCGGCACGCAGGTCCTGGACATCCAGCAGGAACAGGTCAGACTCCCTGTGGAAATGGGGGAAAAAAACCCGAGCAGGTGAGTAATTGTACCCAAAGGGTGATAATTCACAGAAATGACTGCCCAGTGCCTGTGTCCGTACAGGTCCTGGTGCACCAGGGTTAGGACAGCAGCTCCCGGTGCCTCCGGCTGTGCCGCACATGATGGTGGCACCCTGGTAGCTGTGCTGGGAAAAGCATCCTCCCAGCCCTGACCGAAAAGCTGGGGTGTGGCATTGCCCAGTGGGAAAGCGTGGGAACAGCCGGCTGCGGCGGTGCTCTTTCCC